GGGGAGTACAGCAGCGCGAACGGCCGCGGCGCGGCGCCTCCACTCCGCCGGATTGGATGTCGCTATAGCTCGCGATTCGCGATGCAGCTACTCCGCCCGCGCTTTATTATTTAAGGATGTTCTTTCAGCGGAGCGAGACACGCGATGTACAGCGATGGTGGATCTAATCACGTAATTTAGTTTATAAGGTTGCCGTAGTAAGGTCGGATTCGACCGATCGCGTCCAATGTGCTGCGCCTTTGCATTTTGCGACGCGAAATCCGTCCTTTGTTCTTTTCTTTTTCCTTGTACAAACTTCTCGCGAAACGGTATTTCTCCAAAACGTATCGACGTGCGAGAGCAAGTCGCGAGAAATGCTCGTCCGTCCGCCGCGCATTGGCCGGAAGAAAGAAACGTGTCCTCTTTTAATTCCATCGCGCTGATCTTCTCTCTCTCCGTTTATTGCCACATGCGCCACGCGTCACGACAAAATCAATAATCGGTAAGAAACGATCCGGCATTTTCGCAACTTTGCGCGTCATTCGGGCACTGTTGAATTATTCAACGCGCACGAGACGAGGGAAATGTTTTGATTATGCCGGACCACGCACAACGCACGTACACTCGCGACGCACAAACGCGTATGCTACACACACACACACACATGTTAATGTATGCGGCGATGAAGCGTCAGAATTAATGATTGAAAAATCCCGATCCAACATTTTCTCCCCGAATTTTTACTTAAAATTTCTCTGATGCTCGTGAAACTCGAAAGACACGCTACAAAGGCGCCTTTACGATAAGCGCCATATCATATTTCGAAGCGCCGTTACTTTGTAGTGAATAGCAATAAATCCAAGTTTATGATACGTGACAATCAAGTGACATCGTCGCGTAAAGTGCAATGCACGTCTTAAAGCGGAATATAGAATGATACATCAGACAGTGTGACACACGTTTGATTCTGAACACGCGGAATTGCGAGCCTATACACAATCCTCGGCCGGTCTGTAGTCGGCGAGTTGTAAGTTTACTGTACGCGTAACGTCGAACGTAGCTGCTCATCAAAGAGTCAAAGCTCCGTTTCCTCTTGTTCTTTTACGAGCATTGCCTTGCATTGCGACGGGGTAAGATTCGCAGTTTGCAACAGTCGGCCTAGTTAAAGTCGTTGCCATTACATGTGACCTGCGTGTTTCTCCCTTGAAGTCATTCGGATCAAACGCAAGGAGGAAGCTATCTGCTGCATCTTCCTTCGTGTGATTATAAGAAATTTATGATAATGAGCAAGCACCGTTTCGTCATGAGCTGCTTGAGGAAATAACGTGTAGAAGATGTTTCGTCATTGACATAATTACTTGGTGTAATTAATCGCGCTTAATTTCAAACAAAAGAATAGAACTGCGTGCGTGCGTGCGTGCGTGCGTGCATGTACATAACAGTATTTCATTAGAAAATTATACACGATTCCAAAAATGAACGACTCAATTTCAATCGTGCACAAAAGTACAGTGTTGTTGTGTCTCCAAGCTCTGCTGCGAGAAGACATTCGATAAGTTTGGCAGACTTTACGCGCGACGCGATCATCGCGAATGGTACAGAATCATTCCGAGAGGCCTAATGTGCTGCCACGAGAGAGAGAGAGAGAGAGAGAAAGAGAGAGAGAAAGCAGATGGTTCGATATAACGCAGGCTCTATGCATGCTCTAGCTTTCGCGCTTATCGACCGTGGCGTAAACTCCACCGAAAAGGCGCGGGGGTGTGGTCGAATATATTGTCTCGCCACGTCTGAATATTTCAGAAATGTAGGAAAATTGCGCAGCGCGCGCACAATCCCTCACACTGCGATTTCGACTAATTAACTAATTAACCTGATATCATCAAGCATGACAAAACGAGAGAGAAAGAGAGAGAGAGAGAGAGAGAGAGAGAGAGAGAGAAAGAGAGAGAGAAATAAAACAATTCGTCCCAAATCTATCCAAAACATACGTTCCAAAATTCGAATTTAAAGAATGAACAAAAACGGAGAATATTAATATCGGACTAAAATGAATAGAGTTTATAATTTTTTTAATATTCTTGTATATTACATGTCGATTACTTTTTCATATATTTTCTGTGTATATGATAGACAAAAAGCATATGTGTTATACTCTGTACAAAAAAATATTTAAAGTAACGCAAAATTTTGAATAATGACGTAGTTGCGTGTATTTTAATCTATTTTAGAAACAAATCTGATTTATTGATATATTGATGTATCTCTCCTTGCTCTGCTCTATTCTAGTCTCTCTCTCTCTCTCTCTCTCTCTCTCTCTCTCTCTCTTTCTCTCTCTACATTTGTAAAAAATACTACACTAAAAGTACTTTTTCTAAAAAGATTAGTGTGAAAAGGCAAAAATACACAGGAGGAGATATCTCGTGTGTATCCAAGATGGTTTGTCGTTTGTCGACATCTTAATTTTGTTTACGGTAAAGGTCGTCTCAAAATGTCACACAAAAATAGAGGATACTTGTGGAATATCTCGGCAAAATTAGACGTGTGATATCTAAACTAAATGGTCAAACGGCATTTAAATCAACAATATATAGTAAAACAAAATTTGTCAATTGCCGTTGATACAAACTCTTCACTATATTTTCAAGTTCTCCACTGAACTGAACGGAACTGAAATGCCCCAATCTTAAATTGGTTTAGTTTGGAATAATTCCTCCCCTTCCTCACACTACTACATGCACAAGAACACAACTAAAAATAGTTGTTATTTTATGAAAAAGGCATCGAGATTGAAAGGGTTAATGCAATAAAAAGAGGTCGGGATGGCTCGTAGTTGCCTTGCAAAAAAAAAAAGCACAAACAAGTACGAAGTAGTGTGCTTTGATAAAAGGGATACGACAGTATTATACACAAATATCGACATACGTTGCACCGAAATGCTACGACTAGGAAAAAACATCAGGCGTTCGCTCGTAATTTTACGCCAAGGTCGAACGTGTGATCAAACGTGAATTGCAGAGATGTGTCTATATCGACATATCGGATGGTATCGGCTCAAATAATATAAACCCTTCGACGTCTAATTACTTTTGTACCGGAACTTTTCGTCGCTGCGTAAAATGTACTAAAAAACACGCAGGAAACCGTAACTACGGATATTGAAAATTTTAGCGACCAAATTCGCGAGGTAATCAGCTGAGAAATATTATACGCATCGCTCTGATTCAGACACCGGATACATCAGATTTGATGTTGAACGCGATATTGCACTGCAAAATATATATCACGAAAGAATATTTTTGTATTTGATCACATAAACCATATCCTTGACCGTGTGACTCGTACTAATTATAATATATTAATACACATTACATTTGTATTAATAATGCAAAATTGTAAATTTAACAAGTGTACATATTCCAAGCACAGAAATAACATTGAAATTTCTGGTCAGCGGTTTACCTCGAGAAAAGGCGTACCAGACGTGAGAGAGAGAGAGAGAGAGAGAGAGAGAGAGAGAGAGAGAGAGAGAGAGAGAGAGAGAGAGAGAGAGAGAGAGAGAGAGAGAGGGAGAGGGAGAGGGAGAGGGAGAGGGAGAGGGAGAGGGAGAGAGAGAGAGAGAGAGAGAGAGAGAGAGAGAGAGAGAGAGAGAGAGAGAGAGAGAGAGAGAGAGAGAGAGAGAGAGAGAGAGAGAGAGAGAGAGAGAGAGAGAGGGAGAGAAAAAGAGAGAGATCTAGTAATCTTTAAAGATAACGGCATGCGAGACTGCAACCACCTGCCGCCGCTCCTGCTGCGATCGAGAGTAAAAGAACGACGGGGGTTGATGAAGGAAGAGTGAACGAGGGAGAAGAGAAGGAAGAATGCGGCGAAGGGTGGCGGATACGCGCGAGAGGCGGCGGATGGCTAGAGGAAGAGACGGAAATGGATAGAGAGACGGCGCGAGGGTGAGGCGAAAGGAGAACGCACGCAGGGCGGAGGGCAGAGAAGGACGATGGTAAAAAGCGGCGCGACGACATGGTATCGATTTGCTAACAGATTCGCGCGTACACGTACGATACTAACGCCTGTCGTTTCTCGACGGCGCGGCGGGGCTAACGTAGCGCGAGAAGAAGGCAGAGCGGAGAGTAACAGGCGCCCTGAAGCTTTATATATAGAGGCTGAGCCACGAGCAGACGGCCCGTGATGCTTAAATATAGACGAAATGCAACGGGGTGTCTCCCGCGCGCGCGCGCGCGCGTGCGAGCGTGTATGATGAAGAGAGAGAGAGAGAGAGAGAGAGACACAGAGGTGGAAAAAAGAGAAAGAAATACGCACATTGACGGATATAGAAAAAGAGAGAGAGAGAGAGAGAGAGATACACACTATTTATCGCACTATTTATGCGACAGCGAAGCGAAAACGCATGCACGGGGTAAAAAAGTAGAAAAGGTGACAAGAGGAACGAATAAGAGAACGACGGTCGGTACAAAAAGGGAGTAGGGGGAGAGTGGGGGGGAGGAAAGGCGAAGAAGAGGCCCTGCATACGCAGAGAACAGTTATGGCGGACCGCGCAGCGTCGTCTGCTACGGACGTAATCGCGAGAGTTGTGATGATCGCGAATCAGCGTTTTTACACGCGACTCGCGATTCGCGACTCTCGCGTGCGAATAAGCGCGAATACGCGCAGTCAACGACGCTATCCGGCGCGAAAAAGGAATCGTTACTAGATGCGCGACGCCGGTATGAACGGCTGTCTTTCTCTCTCTCTCTCTCTCTCTCTCTCTCTCTTCCTCCCACTCCATCTCCCTACGTATCCCTATGTATCTTACGCTCTGCTTCTCTTTCTTCGTGATTGCGAATCGTATCAATATCGGAGCACAAGTAAAAGGCTAGTCGCGGAGCATGATAGCGGATAGAACGAAAACGGAACGAAGCGGCGAGCGCGAGAGATCGGTAGAAAGAGACGGCGCATCGCTCTCTCTCTCTCTCTCGCTCTCGCGCTCGCGCTCGCGCTCGTTTCGCACAGTGGCAAAATTTCGTACTTACTTGCCGAGTTCCTCCTTCAAATCGTAGTTGTCACTGAATCGTGTGCAAGCCGTGGGCACGGCCATACCGAGGCTATTCACGATTATTTAACCGCACCACTCGGGAACGCGAGCGCGAGAGCCACTGCCGGCCGCCACTGTACTGCACACACGCGCTAGGGGAAACTTCGCAGGTCAAATTCGATCAATAGAGGGGAACCGCCGCGGCGCTGCTCGAACACCGGGACGGCAGCGGCGGCGGCGACGACGACGACGACTACACGAGACGAGTTGGTGGGGGTAAACGGGCTGGACCGAGCGAAGCGGGACGGGGGAGAGACGCCTCTGTCCGCGGCGGCGGTGGCGGCGGCTGTGCGCGAATCGTAGACACCGTCAACACCGGTCAACGACGACAGCCAGCGCGATATATACGCGAAGAAAATTTCGCTTCTCTCTTTTCTCTCGCGTTCCGCGTTTTACTTCGCAAGCGATTACTTCGCCTCGTCGCGAGATACCACACAACACGCGCGCATCCGCACTGTTCGCCGGCAAACCGTCGACTGACTCGCGTAGTGACAACAACGAATTGTCGACGAAGGGGGGGGGGGCGGCGGACAAGGTAAGGTCGGCAATGGCGGCCGACGAACGAACCGTGGCTGCGGCGCGCTCTCGTTCGCATACTCGCGATTCAACGGGGATCGTCTCGAAAGGGATACGCGGACGACGCGATGCCGGGCGATGCTTGGAAGCTGAGTCCGAGTCAAGTCGCTAGATCGGGAACTGCTCCGACGATTATGAGCTTGGATATCTCTCTCTCTCTCTCTCTCTCTCTCTCTCTCTCTCTCTCTCTCTCTCTCTGCGAACAGAGAAACAACACACATCCCGTCTTTCGCATTACGGTGTAACATTCGACTATATTCAGGGTTAAATGTACGCCCTCTTATTAATAAACATCGCACGTGTAAACACGTGTGTTTTTATCGCAGGAACGCAAACAACGCCGCTGCGAGATCTGCTTTTCGTCGATCCAAAAGTAAAGAAAACAAACAACGATCGATTGTATCGAAATAAATTTCGCGCTTTCGAATAGATTTCTCTCTCTCTCTCTCTCTCTCTCTCTCTCTCTCTCTCTCTCTCTCTCTCTCTCTTCGTGATACTCGTGATAATTACTACATCATTCAATACGATATCATTCGTTAGCAGCCACTCTCTTGTACAATTGCGCGCAAATGTGCGCATAATATATACTTAATCGGAAATTTATATCCGTCATGTTGAATTTTGCTTGGAAATGCTCATCATGCGATATCGCGAACTTGGTGTTTCTATTCGATCGGGGAAACGATCAGTTCAAGTCAAGTCCAATTTACAAAGCATTGAGTCGAGATGGCTATTGATGAAAAATCGTAGAATTATTACCGAAATCTGCTATTGCCGCTTGTCGCGAGATCATGCCGAGAGCAACGCCAGACGATAAGAACATTTGCGATGTTTGCCAATTTGCGGCGAAGAGACAACCGTCGACCATCGCCGTCGACTATGGAAAGGCTCTTGAGTGATTCGCACGGACCGACGAGTTCTCTCGATCATCGTGAACGGCGCCGCTCGATAGACGGCGGCTGCACACCACCGCTGTCGGGCATAAGCGCGAGATTTACTACTGCGCGGCGCGCGTACCGCTCAGCATCACTTGGACGCGCCATCTTGGCGCAATTCCAAAACTGTTGCAACCGGCGTATCGCTTTCCCGATCTCGAATTCCTCCATTGATTTTGGTAATACACTTACAAAAAATGCCGTTTATGCCATTGCTCTTTCCGACAGCGATATTTGTGCACACGTTAGTGCGCATTTGTTATCTCACGGTTATTTCACGGTCGTAAGTTGAGAGGGAAAAATTTAGATCGTACACGGGTCAAGTGGTTAATTGTATATTATATTTGGGTTAATCTTACAAATTTAATCTTACGTCTTACGGCGTGTGGTAAATTTATCAAAAGAACGTACGTGTAATCCTATAGTAAATTACTATATCGCATGCCTGCGTATAATGCAACGACTGTCATTTTGAGATAAAATAAGCACAGATAGTATTTGTCGCAGCATAAACAGTCGTTGCATCATAGACAAATATATGGAATTCTCTTCTATCGACAAAAGAGAGTTTGGAATATCGGTCACAATCGCATAAAATGTATAATTTTTCGTATAAAGTTTCGCTGTGTCATATTGATGGGCCGCGTTTGAGTTCACCACGCGCGTATACACACACACACACACATATATGTGTGTGTGTGTATGCATGATTCATGAAATGTCGCACGTCTAATACAGTCTATCGTAATAGTCGTTGGAACGCACGGAAATTCCTATCGCAGTCTTACCCTTTGCACAAACAGTGGCTGTGCAAAGTTACTGTTTACGAAAATCGCAATTTTCTTCGCGTATTATTAAATTTGAGCTTAATGATGAATGACAATTACTGCAAAATATTGTAAATACTATATAATGCGATTACTGATAAATTAGTAGAAAAATTTAGTTTCTTTTTAAACGCGCAAAAAGAACACATTCATACGTCAAAATTGACTCAGCCATCGACGTATGCAGGCCATCGTTCAAAAAGTTTTAAAATAATTGGCACGTTTGTTATCAGTATCGTATACGTGCGTCATACTCAATTATCGTGACATTAACGTCATATGTACGTGACGCATCAATTAACGTTTTGACATAATGATAATGATGATGTAACAAAGAAAGTATACTAACTAAAAGACTATTTTAAATATGCTTTGAAACGAGAGTCTTTTCTTGAAATGTAGCACAATGATAACGAACGTATTTATTCGATCGTAAGGATATGTGAATTGCGTCCTATCCCACAAACAAAAATTAATCATATTTGCTCGCCTTTAATCATATTTAAATGAAATACAAACCATTAGAGGCGTCATACGCGAATTAAGATACAAATGTTAAATGCAATGAAATTTCTTTGTATTATTATCGCTTGCGAAAAGGAACGTTGCATCGATTACGACATTATTGTCGTGTGACGAATCAATTTCAGTTGCCGCTTCCGAAAATTTTACAACATACTCGCGTGAAAAAAATATTTTGCTCTTGTGGCACAAGCAAAAGAACGCTCGGTTGCGAGTTTAGTGTTAAGCTTTTATGCATTTAACATATTCACGTATTAAGCGTCATAAAATATAAAACGCGAGTAGCGATGATTTGAAAAAAGAAAAGAATGAATATCAATTGATATGAATGACATGTGGTACATTCTGGTACTAACAATTTCTCGTCTTTTCCTTCCCATCTACAATTCTCGACAGGCTTTCGACGAAGCTCGACGAGTTTCCACAGGATTCCAAAAGCTACCAGTAACTCCCCGATGATACCCGAGACCCGTGAAAGCTTCACGAAGAACAGTGTGTCCAATCTTCTCTATTCGACCGTCACTGACTTGGCCAGATTCCTCGGACAGTCGACGTTGCAACCACGCAAAACCGCAATATGGAAGGACAGCAGTTGCATGGGAATGACGGTGAGAATTCCTTGTAGACAGTCAACTGTCTTAGGTATCTCGAGAGCTCGATCGGCGAATGATTTCGTGTCCTCATCTCCCTCTTCACAAATAACAATCGGCTTACCGTCTCGCGCGGTAACTTGCTGCAGCGCGTTCATGCATTTCTGCAAAATTTATAATGCCGTTACAGTGCCGCGCGTCTTCGCGACTATTTTATTCCGTAAATATATACACGTATGAATCGAAACGCAAACCGTTCCCAAAATGCTCGAAATAACAGGAGACTCACCACATACACCGGGTCTCTCATCACGATCATAATTACCGGCATGGAGTCGTCGACGAGAGCTAAAGGACCGTGTTTTAATTCGCCAGCCATAATACCCTCGCTGTGCATATACGTCAACTCTTTTACTTTCTGTAAATAGTCAGCAATTGTTCACGGTAAACCGACCGAGTTGACCGAAAGGAAACTCGCTATTCACGCTAGGCTTGTCTGCTTCAACTTACGAGCGCGCCTTCCATACACGTAGCAAAATTGTATCCACGACCCATTATCAGCAGGGACTTGTGCTGAAACAGTGACTTGGCCAGTTCCTTGACCTTGTCATCGAGCTTCAATACCTCGCGAATAAGATTGTCCAGATTCTTCAAACCTTCGATAATCTGTGCAAACACGTGTGACAAACGTGAGAGATTCTCGCCGTCAAATTACGACAGATGAAATGAGCAACAAGCTCATACAAACGAAACAATGCCAAACCTGTTGGCGTCTCGAACCGAGAGAGATTCTGTCTTCGCTCATCACCAGAGCGAACATTACAAGAGAAATGAATTGCGAGGTATAAGCCTTGGTGCTGGCTACACCGATCTCAGGACCGGCGTTTATGTGCACACCGCAATGGGATTCGCGGCAAATGCTGCTACCGACGGTGTTGGTAATACCCACTATAAGAGCACCACGACTCTTGCAATAACGCAGTGCCATTAACGTATCAGCCGTTTCACCTGTCATCAGTATCAGTGAACAGTATAGTAACTATAACTTCTTTACTTATGATTTGTCGTACTTTGGTCGTATTCAAATATCATTATTATTTTCTCGAAATTGTCCCCAAGCCTTTCCTCGGTTAGTTTGTAGTTGGTTTTCTCGTGGCTTTACCTGATTGCGAAATGAAGAAACAGACGTCGTCCCTAAAGACCGGCGTGTTACGGTCGAGAAAGTCGGACGCGAGCTCGACCATCACCGGCAACTCTGTCAGCTCTTCGAGGAGCTGTCGCGTGGCTATAGCAGAATGGTAGCTCGTGCCACAACCGATCAACATGAGACGCCTGCACCGTTTGATTTCCGGTATATAATCCTAAAAAGAGCAGAGACGTTCGCGCTACGTTCGTAGAACAGAACGCTGTGAGACGAGTGAATTCGGCAGATATTCGCCACTCGCGGCTATTACCTTGATGCCGCCCAGCGTAACAGAATTGTCCTGGAAGTTGAGTCGTCCTCTCATAGTGTTCACTACCGACTCGGGCTGCTCAAAGATTTCCTTCTGCATAAAGTACTCGTAATTGCCCTTCATAATTTGCTGAATCTCCATCTTGAGCGTCGTGATCTCGCGAGCATGAGGATCGTCCATACAGCGACGCAGACGATGAATACTCAGGGCACCTTCCTTAACAGCCGCCACATCGTCGTCCTGTTACAAAAAACACGAAAACGCGACACGACGCGACATTTGAATCAAGCCTCTGGGAATTCAAGGATGTTTAATAACGTACGATTATACGTGTGTGTGTGGATTCGCACCTCTAGAAATATCACACGATTCGTATGTTCAATCACGGCGCTGGCATCAGAAGCGAAGAAATATTCCACCTCCTTGTCCTCCAGAGGTTGAAATTCGGACGTGCTCTCGCTACGCGGTATGACCGGAAGTTCAGAATTTCTGCCGTGCGGACGATGATCTGCGTGAAAATAAATAACTTTGACTGACTTTTCGACGCCACTATTCGACTGCACTATGAAACACGGTATCGAAAAGTTCGACTTTGTGAGAAACGTACGCTTTCCAATGTATGTGCGTAGTTTCAAACTACGCGAATTTTGCAATTTATGTATGTAAACAAACTGATTGCAATATCAACAATATATTATATTTAATTTATATATATGTACACATATCGCAAAACTGTACACTTGTATTACTTGTATCGTTACGAGTGGTGTTTCTTAATTTTGTGTGTAAAATGGCGTTGGTGAAATTAGCGAAAGTGAGAGCTAGAACTAGAAAAGTCCCAAATGAAAATGCCGAATTATTAATTTCTATTCTTTCAATTATTTAGATTAAATTGTCAGATTGCTGTTCGTTCGTCTTTTAAGCCCCACACCAAGAGATGGCACAAGATAGAATGTGTACATCTAAATGATAAGTAAAGTAGGCAAAGGTAGCGATGAGAAAGTTCGTTGTAAGAAATTCAGGTACTTATGGTATATTTGCCACAACTTTGGGATATCCGCGACGCCCAGATGTTAATATTGCAGCGCGATCCGCTGCAAGACAGTGAAGAATGCGATACTACCGCACAGTGACGACAATTGATATGAGTAATGATGCACGACCGATAGCAAGAACAATGAAAGCATATTGTCGACAACATGATTAATTGGATGTACGATCTTATTAAACAGGCGATAACGGTAAGGACAACACTGGTCATTTGTAGCAGTGAGTAAAAATGACGTCCCTGAGATGAGAACGTTACGCCGAAAGAATCCAATTTCGGTTAATTGTCGCAAGCGGAAAATACGAACAAACCTGTGACAGCAAGAGCTAACGATGTATGCATATTGAAAGCAAAGCAAAGCTCTTATCACCCATCGACCTCCTACTTACCCCATCAAAGTCCGCGACAAGTTCCCAATCCAAGCACTTGTGGTTAAAAAAGGAGAGGCTAACGACACATTTATTCGCATATAACAAACGGGCGAGTCGCAATCCATTTACTGCAACAACTATTTGGATAAGAAGCGGAAGTACGTAAAATTTGACGTAAAGTATTACCTTGAGACGGTGCTTCGCCTTCTGCACAGATTGGGACGCGGGGAGGGAAGAAAACGAGAAAGAAAATAAACACAATTAGCGCACAAATAATGCCACAAAGACACAGCGTGTGATCAATCAATATCGAGGGTAAATTCAATGAAACAAACGCTGCGACAAGACGGCGCGGCAAGGAGCGAGCGAGCATCAAGCGACTAGCATTAACTTGGACGGTAATATCGGTTTGCAAAAAGGCGCTTCTTTCGCTTTCTTGCGTTTCTATGATTCAATGACAATGATAGAGCACTTGTTTTCGAGTAATTTTTAGTTTCTTCCGCGCTGTACATTTTTTCTCAAACTTTAACATATATCACAGAGAAAGAGAGAGAGAGAGAGAGAGAGGAGACACGCTATTTTCGCGCTAAGAGTCGCGAGCGTTTAAACTTTTGTCGAATATTTAGAGAACGTCGTTTTATCGTTTTTTGCTGTGTTTCGAAGGCTAACGTTCTTGCCAGGATCACCCCGATTGAATCCTTCGTATTCTTTTCTTCTTTTTTTTCTCTTCACGTCAACGATTAGATAGAGTGTGAGAGAGGATCGTATTCGTTGTGTACATGCACACGCGATACAGATAATTATCTACAATCTTCAACGTACTTTATCGCTCTAATTATTGGCTCTTAGACGTACATATCTCACTTCCGTCCATTGTTATTAAAAAGTTTTTATAAGTGACAAACCTCTCGCCTTTATCTTGCGCACTGTAGCGGATCGTCGAGTTGTAAGAGAGAGCAATCGTCGCGAATCCTGTCTTGTCTCGTAAGAATGCGTCGAATTCGCAATCTTTGAAAATCAAAGATTAACGGACAGTGACAGAGGACAGAAATATGCCACAAATTAGCCGATTAGCGTAGTACCAGTGAGAGCTGATGTTGTTGTTGTTGTTATTATTGTGTTAAAGCGAGAGAAGACAAACATTGGATAACAGCTCGAGAATGATAAAGGACTTGAAAGACACGTGCTCGGGCGCGATTGTCGAGATTAGAAATGTCAGCGATAAGTCTCTCCATCGAGGACAAAATCGACAACATATCGATGATCTAGGTGTTCCTCAACCACTGGATCTTGCGCGTCGGATCGGATATTGCGCATGCTTGACATAGCAATCGTTCGAATGTATCAAGTGACATGTCACAAGACGCGTGTCAACAAGGAGCCTCTCGACTTACATACCACGTATAGGCACCGTACGACGATAATACCGATTTCATTTTTATTCATCCTCTAATTGCTTAGTGAGAGAGATCCAGTGCCGAGGAGAAAGTCACAAGATAAATTTATAATAGTGTATATACCTTTGTTCGCGCGTTGAAGGTCGTCTGATGGCGCGAAAAGTGGTAGAACATAACCGGAAGGTGTTCATGCAAAAGAAACACTCGTATAGTATTCACACAGTAACACTCGTTTGGAAGGAGAGAGCTTACGTGCAGAGTATTTGCGAAACTCTAGGAAAACAGGCGATAAGTATTTATAAAGTATAAATTAAAACGATCATGCGTCTATTCAAATTTTAGCATCTACCTAGCGTAAAACGATAAAAAGGAAAGAGTACAAAAGTTATTATCTTAATTTATACAACAACTAGGTAAAAATATCTAGGTAGGTCCGAAAATAATGTTATCAAGTCAAGGAGAAAGAGGGAGCAAAGAAGGGAAAGAGATAAGTGTCTAGAGAAAAAAAAACACTAATCTCTCGAACGAGCATCATCTAAAATACTTTCACTCAAATAAAATAAACGCGTGCGTGATGCTACATGTATGTAATTCCAAATATGCAACAATTACACATCTGGTAAACTGTGTCATCTCGACACAGCTACACCATCGACAAATTAATCTCGACGCGATGTTTTTGCTTACCGTTGCGCAGCGACGAAAGAGGGTGATCAATTTATCGGTGCGCAAAGTGATGACAGTATAAATAGTAAAGATCCAAGTAGCAAAAATAATGTTACTTAAACAGTGTATTATATTAAAAAGCACATGCTGTTAGTCGCATGTCGTTAGGTTATTAGTTGGCGTTCTCCCGAACGTTGGAATTCACGTGAGACGCATGATCGACGTGAGCAGACAGATCGACTGGTTAAAGTGAAAGATCCCGAAGCGGTATCGCCGTCGCGCGCGCGCGCGCGCGCGCGTCTCTGTGGATTTAGTTATAGCGCAAAGAAACACGTACTCGCGAAAATTGCCTCTTTGCCCTTCAGGATGTTGAATAATGCTCGATATGTATGTAATATTCTAGCGAAAATGTTGATTTCGGCCAGAGCCAGGATCAGGAGTTCCTCGGTCTCGTTGGCGGTGCACGCCTACGTCCACGTTGCCGTGGCGTGCGGCGGAGATCGATTGATTGACGCGCAGGGTTGAAACTCACCTTTCCCGTACAAGATAGGTACATGATCCGTCGCCAGTCTCGTTTTCGTCTTGATACCAACGAGAAGCGGCGAACCTCGTCTCGTGGCCACGCATTCACCCGGGAAGTATTTGCTTTTGAAGCAAAGAGCGAAAGCACCCTCCTAAAACGGTTTCCCATGTCGTTACTTTGTTGTATGTTACTTAGGCTCTTGCAGACTCTGAATGTCTTAAATGTCGACATAATTATTTATAATCCAGTCTCCCCCCTTCCCGTCCGCGTATATTACAAATCTTTTCTCCGGGAGACCTACCAACTGCTGGACGACCTGTTCGACGAGCTCGCGGAATGAATACGCAGGATGTTGCACCCAAAGATGGTGAATCAGTTTCGCGATCACCTCCGTATCGGTGTCACTCTCAAACGCATATCCTCTTTGTTGCAGCAGAGTTTTCACCTCCTTGTAATTCGTCACGATACCTGCGTTCACAAGGACAATTGTATGTACGGAGGAAAAATCGGCAGGACAAGATCGGAAACGTCATATTCGGTATCGAGCAAGGAATTACCATTGTGCACAACCAAGAAAGCATGCTCGCTGTCGGAACGCTGAGGGTGGGCATTCAACGCCGATGGCACACCGTGGGTCGCCCATCGCGTGTGAGCGATCCCGACGTGACATTGAGTCTTTGACTCGAAGTCAATATTGGTACCTGGAGGATAAACATCGAAGACTTTACACAACTTTACCACTCGCTATCACGAGAAGAGAACTCTCGCTCGTTGGCTCAATACACGCGATTGTTTCCTTTTGCGCGACAACAGCGTCGCTGGAGCGAGGAAACACGAGGGGTCTCGCGATCTGAAACTTACGGCAAAATATTTCCTCCTCGAGAGCCTTGACCTTTCCCTGCTTCTTAATAATCGAGATGTCCTTGCCATCAGCGCTGTCGAGGGCGACGCCTGCAAAAAGAACACCGTGCGTAAGAATTTCCATGACCAACGACACGTATATCGTATATCGCAAACCTGTACAGTTTCTCCTGCGAGGAAGGAAGAGAGATGGGAGATTGAAAAGACGTCGAGTACTTACCTGCAGAATCATATCCACGATACTCTAATCTTTTCAGACCACCGACTAGCAATTCCAGGATTTCCTTTCTGCTCTTCGGTGTCAGGTAGTTGAGATAAGCAAAAATACCTGAAGAAATTCAAGAACACAGTGGATAACTATCACTCAAACAATCGATCCATGGTGAAACAACAGAAAACAAACAAATTCAATTCTCATGGGTAAGAGTAACGCGAAATACCAACATTTGTCCCTCATCGAATCGACTATCGCTTGTTCATACGTAATACTTATATGTCACTTTGCATATTTGTCAGATTTCTTTCGGACCGCCTTTTTTCGAAAGTATATTAAATTGCAATATAAGTGCAGTTCTATTCAAATATAATTAGATCTCATATAATAAAAATTTGTCGTCTTACAAAATGGTAACTTTACTGTTGCCGTCGACACGTTAGGTTTTACTTGTATTATCCGCTGTGTGTCGCATAATGTCACTTTTTGTCCTCTTTCTCGCCGCTCTTGCAACTCTTGTAAAATTGACTCACTTTAACCAGTACATTATATGTGCATTTATTATACATATATTATATTTACCACTTGCCAGAGTGTTCCACAATCACTTTCCCGATTATTAAATAAGATAGGATTCGAAGCGGTAATTACTTGCATCATCGTCTTATTCTACGTATCTACGTTATCTTTTTACACCTATCAATGCTATTTACATTTTATTTTATACATGCAAAAATGTGATTTCCATTCTCGTATATTTTTATTTTCCCTTTCTTTTCTTCGCATTCCTTCCATATGTACATTCTATTTGTCTCTTTGCAAAATTCACTCCAGGATGCGACAAATGAGTTCCTCTCCCTTTCGGGCTGCATTCAAGCGGCCCAAAGAGCGCGATAAAACCAAAGACCTTGGCGCTACTAGGCGCGACAACGAGCTATCTCTCAATTTCACTGACCTCTGCTACTACCTACGCCGCCTCTCGATCTCGAAGGTCGCTCCCGCGAGAGAACGCGGAAAGGTGAGGAATCCGATTTATCCGGGAACGCGCGCGCGCTAAAAGGTCACGAGGAGATATCGCGGCGTACCTTTCCTTTTATCTTTATTAATGTGTGCTAATCCGAGATCGAAAACAAGAACAAGATCGAAAACGCAACCGTGCAACTGCACACGAAAAGAAAGAAAGAAATGCTATAACTAGAAATACATAGCGTTGCCCAGAATTGCAAAGTCGCCGTACAATGATAACGAAAACAAATACTCTGTGTCTCTTATCAAGTGAGTCTCGCGCGAGGACAATAAAAAATACGCCATGGTCGACAGCTGAACGCAGTGGGGCGTTAATGACAAAAATGCAAAACCTGGCGCCGGTGAACGCAGGAGAAGCCGGGCAGGCGGTAGGCGGCGTACCAGGTTGGTCTAACGGCGCGAGCGAGAACAGGTAATTCGAGATACATTCACACCAGTGAAAGGGAAAGCGCAAATGCGTGTGTGAATAAACGAGAGATTCGACTTCGGACAGTTGCAGTTATCACGGGTGTTATCGCGGGTCAGTCGTGTCTTTTTACACGTTGACCCGTACAAGCTCGAATGTAAGTGGGAATCATATTCCTAAATTAGAAAGCATCGTTCACCTTTTCAGCTGTCATTCCGTGACGCTTACGAATGGTGTTGATGAGAGAAGCCAATCTCTGCTAACTCGCGTTTCATTTCAACGGAAATCTCTTTGTTAACTTCCTTGTCAAATTTCATTCGCATATTCTACCGAGCGCTGCTTCGATCACACTCAAAGGAAAGTATTCTACTTGCAAAAGTGATTTTTCCCATAGTCTCATATTTTTCTAAGCGAAGCCTTTTATAGGAAAAGGATTCCTTTTTTGATAAAGCGATTAAAGTGAACCATTCGTCTAAAATTTATTAAATATCACTCTAACCGTTTTCCTTTCATTTCAAGAAGTTTATTTTCTCTTATATCAATTAATTTTCCTCTTATATGAAGAGGAATAGTTTGATTTGAATGTCGGCTTCTTTTGTTCAGTCATGCTCTACCTCCAGACATGAATGAAAAATAACATATTTGGTCAAATACAGTTTATAATTTATTGCAAGAAGTCTGAATAACGTATTCTTTCTTTTAACTATGTTTCATACAATTGGTTATGATGAACATCTTTGTAGCTCATAACAAGTTCATAACAAAACTGATTGGAAATTTATTTGTTATGATGATCTTATTCCATTCGTACCTACTTATTGTAGAACTGCAGCCGGAAATACATCTATATATATATATATATATATATATATATATATATATATTACTTTTCGCTATACATTATAACAATTTTTTTCAAATTAACTAGTATAACCAATGAGAATAAGGTACAGAAAGAATAAATAATAATCCTCTTAAAAAAAGATTAAATAATCTGTGTATAAGAGGAAATTTATGTTAAAATCAATGGTTTGCATTATACATGTAACATATAATCTCCCTAACTTTAAGAATATAATGTGTTTATAATACTTTCCTCTTAATCTTAGAGGAATCCTCTTGAGGCCATATATAAGAATAAAATCCTCTAAAATTTAAATGATTCCGTTTGTCTTGAAATTACTTTTTTTTTGGGTGCAATATTGATCGAGTAATGACAACCGCGATCGAGTCGCGCGAAACCTGTACAAGTCTCTTTACGAAATACCGATCGGTATATCTGTGCGAATGAGATTCTCTCGCATCCAATCAGCTAATGGTTTTCCTTCCATACCATCAGCGATGCAAAGACTGCATTTTATAATTAGCCAGTTCGATCGATTGAAGCGTATCGAATGGAGCGAATAGTTTCTACACGTCGTTTCGTTATTGTCACTCAATGCGCACGAGATATACGATAACTTGATCAACATGCATAGGAATGTATGCATTGTCCTCAGAGGATAATTAGAATCAGAGAGGAATTTTTACGGATAATCAGATGCGACATTCGATCGAGTACGTCAAACAAACAACGTGTATTGTTACATGTATTGTAACATGTATCGTATATGTATTAAATTACATATGTATGTGTCCCATCTTATCACGTTGGAATAAAAATATTTATCGTGGAGAAAAAACGTGCATTATGTATACATATGAAAAAGATTAATATTATTCAAAGATAGCGTTAACGTTGACAACATGTCAACGTGTTGACAATTTGTCGCACGCGATAAATATATTTCCTTTTTTGAACATTAACATTCGAGTTTCTCATTAAACAGAAATTGACACGAGTAATGAATGCAAAATTCTTCGCGTGTATAATGATACGAGTCGCTCACCGGGCAATGTATCACAAACGGATCGGCACACTTTTTAGCCGGAAAAAGTCTAATATTCGTTTTAGACGCGCCCGGTTGTGTGCCCTGCTTTTACTCGATTGATTTCACTCCGAAAGTTTCCTGGGCATTTTTTTAACTTTCCACAGTTATATATAGATAGTATCTCGCGGACCACGACATCAATCACGACGAAGATTCTCTTCTACTTTGTCACTTTGTACGTCGCGTTTGTTACGACGATGTCGAGACCGCGACTCGAAACGACTAGAAGCGTCGGACAGAGAGTAACTGCACAATCGTCAAGCTCCCCATATAACACAAAAGTTGCAGCAATATTGCTGCAACTTTTTGTCACCATGGGTCGTGCCACCAAGATCTGCATCACTATAATGCGAGAGTTGAACCTGAACCTGAACCTGAACCTGAATCTGAATTAACGCACCTGTTACGCACCGCGACGCATTGCCGACGTACCGGGAAGATTAGAGATAATAACCAAGATAATGTCATTACCACTTATGCATTCGTTTTCCGACAAGTCCACTTGGACGAGAAAAGCAAATTAGAGAAGAGCAAATAAAACGAAGAAAAGTATTTGACTTTGTTCGTGTGTAACCCTTACGTTCCTTATCCGTAAATTATACAGTATCATGTCCATCAGATCAGTTGACATTTCATTCTTACTCGACACATTTCACGACGAATTTGTCAGTTTCGATATAACAATGTGTGCCAAAAAATCGAAAGGATCAAACGTGGCGAAAGACCTACCGCTCATGATACGACCTATGAGACTCGAACCACGTCGTTGGAAAACAAAACGAGGAGTCGCGAAGACAACTAAACGGTCGATCGAGGCTAATCGAGACTCGAAGCAGTACTCGGATTATATTTCATGATAAGAGTAATTTTCTATTGACTCGTTGATACGAGAATATCCGGTGAAAGATTGTTATCGAAAAGAATTTTCCTGGCAAGTTCGTGGAAAATGAAATCGGAAAAAGAAATTCTCACGACTGATACACAAGTCGGAAGATAATAGCTTTATCTAGCAAACAATTCAGTGTCACGACTGCTAGATATTCATTATTTTCCAAGGCAGAAAAAACGTGATATATATATATATATATATATATATATATATATCCGGAAACTCGTTATCGGTGTGCGTCACGCTCAGAAATCAAACGCATCGGTTTCGATTACGATCTCAATGACGCAAAAGAGACACGTTCAGAAAAGCAAGTACTTTTTACCGTGAATCACTGAACAATTTCCTATGTTCCACAGAGTACACGCCAGCGGCTGAAACCGGCTCGTCGAAAACGGACTTTATCTCGACATTTTGATAGCATCGCCGAGGCAATTGGAACATGGCTGGGCGTTTTACCTCGATCGAGTGATCGAATGAGCGGAGAATTGGTCGATTGACAATCGTGACAGCATCGTCTAGCGAGAAATGACGAACTTGGCCTTCCGCCCTACTGACACGATACTTCTTCTTCGTGTAGAGTCCGCTGTGAAACGCGTGAATGTGCGAGAGCACGGCAGGATGGATCAACGAGAAAGTGGCGATACGCGATATGCCGTGTCGAAATTGGTTGCGATCGAGTCTGAGTTAATATTCGAGAAACGGTCGAGGTGGGTCTCGATGAAAAAGGGCGAGGAGAAAGGCGATGTCGCGCGCGCGCGGGTATCTCTCTCTCTCTCTCTCTTTCGCTCTCTCTCTCTCTCTCTCTCTCTCTCTCTATCTCTCTTTCTGCCGCTTCTAAATGTCATATGTAACTCTGTCCTATGCCCGTTGCTGCACCCTCTCACCTGAGATTCGCGCGCGATTGCCACGAACGAGTGAGACTTTCACTCGCGAAGCGGCGCGCCGTTGAGAGTGTCGCGTTAAATCAGAAAATACCTACTTCTCAGCGGCGAGCGAGCCATTGTGAGAGAGCGCGACGACTCGAAAATTGCAATAACGTATCGACATTCCGACATGCGCACTTTGAAGTTGCAAGTGTCACAAAAGAATGTTTTTTCTTTCTTCCTCTCTCCCTCTCTCCCTCTCTCTCTCTCTCTCTCTCTCTCTCTCTCTCTGTTTCTCGAAACTCTATCGAGATAACACGAGTTTCTTACTTTTCCGTGTAACAAAATGTGTAACTCGCTTGGCTCGATATTGTCCTCGACTTTGTGATATTCACAATAATAACGGAATCGAATTGCAACGCGCGCGGCAACTTCGCCTCGCGCGATTGGCGGATTGGCGGCTTTAGTTTAGGCGGACGTAACCGAGCACGGTTGTTGCGCGTATTACGCAAGTAAAAGTAAGAGATTTAGCTGTTGCGCTGCTGAATATACAATATCGCGAGTGCGCGAATACGCGCGATCTGTGCGCAGGTCGATGCCCGAGGAAGTCGTGTCTCGCACGTATACCTGCGAGCGAATGCACGCGAATCGCAGTCGGCAGCTTTCGAGCTGGTCGAGTGAAATATCAAGTACTCGAGTACTCGGGAGGACATGGCGGAGCTTTCGACCAAGCGTCATTGTCATTGTAATTGCTGCAAACCCAACGTACCTATCGACACAGTAAGCGCGAGTAATTCCAATTAGCCGTTTCAAAATAGACAATTGTTTACGAAACGACGAAAGATTCATTCAACGTTGTAAACACGGCAACAAATGTTGATACAAATGTCCTCGCGTGCATTTTTCAATTATAATTATCTCATTGTCAGCCTCGTTGTATAACGGCATCAGAGAAATCGCACAACTGTATTCGCTTTCGTGTAAGATTCGTCGGAAAAATGCATCGTTATTCGACCGGTTTCATCCTCAGTGAGATGTTGGCTGAATCTGAATGTTTATTACCGATTATTATCGGTGACAATGATTACGCGCTCGTTAAACCGCAATACCGCAAAGTTGCTAAGTCTCAAAAGAGAAATCCGGGGAAAGATTCCTCGCGATGAATATTTATTCGGCTCGTGAAATCTAATTGTAAGAAAAAGTTTCGCCGTGAGAGACGGAGACGCGATCGAAAATGTGCTTTGCATGACTTGCGCAATTTCTTTCTTCCTTTCTCTCTCTCTCTCTCTCTCTCTCTCTCTCTCTCTTTCGTAATTTCGTAAAGACCTTTCAAATTGCTGTGGCGCGTTCCAGATCACACCACTTGAACAAGCACTTGAAAGCACACGAAATATCGATAGAAAGTGTTGAGGTTCATACGAGAATCGTCATGATGTGAAAAATTACGTGGAATTGATCTTATCGTTTGATCCATTTTTCACCAAATAGGAAAGTAATATCGATCAAAAATGATCCGTGTCATATATCGATTAAAGTAAACCACGACTGATGTCACAAACATTGATAGATTATAATGACACGTGTCTCACCTTTGCAATTAAGATAGCCGTTACAGAAATAAATACATTCTAGAAATACGATTATGTCTCTCGATAAGTATTTTACTATTATTGTTGCTGTTACTATACTTTTAGTTCGGAAATCAACGATTTTAAGAATTTGAAGAAAGAAGTTTGCCTTGTACAAATTGAGATGTACCGTAATATACTTGTCTGTGTGTTAATTAACTGAAATTAATACGATTCTTCGAATAAATCGTCTTGCTACTTTCTGTAGCTTACTTCTTTTTGGTGATTTATAACGGAACAATTAGATTAGTAGATAAAAAAATTTAATTTAGCGGAATTAATAGCTTGGTTTTATGTTAGGAAAAAAACATGAAAAATATGAAACGCATTCTTTCCCACCTGTTAATATTTATGATTGGCAAATATTTCTCAATGTCGTTAGGACTTGTAACGAACAACATATATTTATACTTTCTAGATTGTACAATTGACACATGCCAAAATGCGTGCGACTGGCTAATTTCTTGCTGATGGCCTGTCTAAAGTTAGAACATGTATCTCCCGGTGTTACAACTTCTTAGGCAAATTGTTATTCTCATGCAATGTTCAATTTGTCATCTGGCATTAAATAGAGTCGCCACGTACTCTCTCATCATTTATGTCGCATTTATATTACGATTATTTTCGTATACACTTGTCCTTTAGTAAGATAAATAGTTGGACGGAAATTGAAAACTTTATCAATTGACTTTTTTCGCCATTGCGTATACAATTGATACGTTGATCAGCTGAAAATTTCTAGTTTTTATTCCAGATAAGAGGATTTCAATCTCTCGCACATGTTTCTCCACGTGCACGTGTTGAACATTGACATCGAATCGATATTACGAGACACACAGCGCGACATATCCTTATCAGTCGCAATTATATATACGAGCGAAAATATACCCAGGCAGAACAGAAAATCATGATGACATGAAAATGACGTCAAAATGATGAGGAAAACTCATTTCTCCATCATGATTCGATCATTTTCTCGTCATGATTCGATGTCAGATCATGATATCTTCTGTTCTGCCTGGGTAAGCGAGCACATGTTTATTTACATTAAGGAATACAGAAATTAACCTGTTCGCCATAAATGAAATAAATGAGTTAAAATGAGTTTAAACGCAAGCTCAGTACGACAGGGTCGTTAACTGCATCAACTAAATCAATCGTAACGACGCTCAATTCTGTGTCCCGCGCAGCTTTTAGACTTACTCTCCAATCTGATGCGCTTGAATTTTAATTTAAATTTGCATTTGTAAATGAACTCTTCTCTGTGCACTTTCGCTCGCTATCGCACCGAAACAACTCGAGCGACTGCGTATATCAATTGCGTTGCAACCAAGACAGACAAGACAAGCCTCCAGCTTGTGCATAATCTCACCGCTCAAATTCGCCGCGAATGTACACATCGTGTCGCTTTCCAAGCTCGACAGTCGCGACATCGAACGCGATAACATTTCCGCGCGATCTGACGAAATCCACGAGTGCCCAACGTCACGCGTATACATAGCGAATTGAACTCGCCATTCATCGACCGCACTGTCAAGCCGGTAGAGAAAGCGGCTTACGATGCTTACACATGGAGCAAAACTCGCTACTTACCGCACATGTTATCGACGTGTGTTGCCCGCCACGTATGTACAGACACGGAGAGGGAAGAGAGACAGAAAGATAGACAGAGAGAGAGAGACAGAGAGACAGAGAGAGAGAGAGAGAGAGAGAGAGAGAGAGAGAGAAAGAGAGAGAGAGAGAGAGAGAAAGAGAGAAGAGAGCACAGCAGAAAGCACAGACAGACCGACAGACGACAATCGACAGCCGACAGATGGTGAGAGGCAAGTAAAAATGGAAGCGAAATGTCACTCGCTCGAATACGTGCGTGATACGTGCCGGCCCGCGTTGCTCCGGAACACAATCTGACTGTTGCAGCGGCGTTCCGTCGTTCTTATGACGCGTAGCTGTCGCGCGCGTGTATACGTGTGAACGCAGCAGCGAACCGTCAACGGGTGGTGGGTACCACGGGCGCGTAACACGTGAACGTAGCTGCGGGTCTGACAGCGATCGCGTGAAAGCACGAGCATTACGATCGCGCGAATATAGCTGCGAGTCGTTGGCAGCTGCGCGCGCGTCTCATCAGTCGATTAATCGCTGGTAAGAATGGACAGTTTGAGGGAAGGATACATTATAAATAAAAATAATCGCTTTCATCGTCGTTTAAAACATCGGCGACAATCAATTCATCTCTCGTTTCTTTTCATAACTAATGTTTAATATCTAATGGATTGTGGGAGATAATATTTAATTACGATTATAGACGGAGAAACGATTATGGACGGAGAAAAATGCGAAAGCTTGTTTAATCGGTCTAATTGTACCAGTAGAAATAAAAAAACTTCTCTAGCTTGACGTCGAATTGCCGCACTAAGTGTACTATTTGATTTTATTAGTGCTCTGTCTGATCAGTCGTTGACTCGTACTACGATCTCGAATTACCATTAAAGATGGCGGTGACTCATAGTGGAATCTTTAAGACCAATTAAAAGTAACGAGTCTAATCCCGCCAAAAGTTGATTAACGGAATGCCTGATCAAACAGCGTTACGCGTGTACGAAAAATTGCTACTTTAACTGCTTACTTGACACTATCTAACAATAATGCAACCAGATTCCTTAGAAAATATCCTTAGAAAAATATCGTTACCAACTTGCTAAGGATTTGAGTCTTGGCTAAGTGATCTGTTACGTTAAAAGTGTCGCATGGAATATATTGATAGATTCAAACTGATTCCAACGTAACACATGTGGATGACAAATGTCGAGAACGTTGCGATTTTTTAATTCAGCAATCAATAAAATGTCGAAAGATACGCCTAGCTTAATAGAAAGCATCGCGCAACATCACAAGTAAGGTTAATTCGTCCTCAAGGTTGCGAAATTATGATACTCACGAGGCTTTTGCGTTTTTTTCATAAGCAAAGCAAAACACTTGTTCGCGCAGATAAGACCATTTCAACAATTTACGATTATCCAATAGTCCAAATGTCGAATTTGGCCAAAATGGGCAAGCCTAAAGTTTTGATTACGAGACCGGACATACCAGCAGCTGGTTTAAATATGCTACGTGAACGGTAAGTACTGTATTTAATTCGACCATCTCTTTGCAACATACACCAAGCAGACAAATATATTTCATATGAAACAATTTGCGTCTCATCATATCACTACTTTCTTATATTGCAAAATAAGCAAATATCGTAAGAAGTTTAATAAAAAGCGAATAAAGTTTTTTTTCATCATGTTTTTAGAATTTATGTACAAAATAATCATCTGTTTTTTCCATTGATGTCCAGATGTCAGATTACATTGTGGGAGAAAGCTGAACCAATACCACGGCTGGAATTATTGTCTAAAATACATGGAGTAAATGGAGTATACTGTGTCCTGACGGATAAAATAGATGATGAAGTTCTTGAGGCTGCAGGTCCTCAATTACAAGTTGTAGCGACTATGTCAGTAGGCATTGATCACCTAGACCTGAATGCTTTAAAGAAAAAGGATATTAAAATCGGTTATACTCCAAATGTCCTGACAGATGCCACAGCGGAGCTGATTGTAGCTCTTTTATTGGCTACATCAAGGAGATTATTGGAAGCTAACAGAGCAATTTACAGGTACTTCCTAATTTTGAATCAATCTTCTCTAAGCAAGAATATCGGAATTCTGCTACATTTCGAATTATAAATAATTAATGACAAAATTTTTTCTAAAAACCAAACCTTGGATCTATTCAGACTACTAACCAGTCTGTTCCTTATGTATAATTTCAAACGGATTATTTTGACAAAAACTTTATTTTCCGACAAATTTATTCAAAATTTGCCGTTTGTAGAAATATGCAGGTCAGCAAGAAACGACATTTCGATGTATATTATTCCCTATATAATACTTGGGATGTATAAATTAAATATCTCTCTCTTTTTATTTTTTACTTTTGCAGAGGCGAATGGAAAGCTTGGGCTCCAACGTGGATGTGTGGCCCAGGATTGTCGGGCTCGACTGTGGGTATTGTTGGTTTGGGTAGGATTGGGCTGCGGGTCGGCGAGTGTCTCAAGAGTTTCAATATTGCCAAATTATTGTACACAAGCAGAACGGTCAAGCCGGAAGCGTCGAAATTTCACGGCGAAAAAGTGGAGTTGAACGAATTGCTCCGGGATAGTGATTTTGTCGTAGTAACGACAGCGCTGACGCCTGAAACGAGACACATGTTTAACGCCGAAGCTTTCAAACGTATGAAGAGTACAGCAATCTTCGTGAATGGAAGTCGCGGAGATGTAGTAGATCAAGCGGCATTGATAGAAGCCTTAAAAAGCGAAACAATTGCGGCTGCTGGTTTGGATGTTACGACGCCTGAACCGATACCACTAGATAATGAACTCTTGAAACTAGATAATTGTGGTTAGTACATTAATAAAGAGTTAGACAATAGATTATTCAGGCGGTGTATCTTGTCGGGAAATAGATATTGAGTCAGTCAGTAAGAGATTTGGGGAAAATATTTAGAAAGAAAAACATTACATTTATGTCTCTCTATTGTTTTCAACACTTTACGCGATGCAACAGTTTCCACGTTTACGTATTTATGCATTTGTGCTTTCAGTGGTTTTACCTCATATAGGAAGCGCTGCTATGCAAACTAGAGAAGAAATGTCTAGAATAACAGCAAATAATATCTTAGCTGTTTTAAATGGAACACCCGAAGCTATGCCTGCGGAACTTAAGCTATAGATAGCCAAAGACGTTTTAACACAATTACAGGTGAGAGGAGTAGTCATCGTCGGAGGTGAAGACATTCGAATATTTTCCCTGGACTTCAAGATACACAATCATAAACGTAAAACACAATTAATATATGCCCAGTTGAGAATAATATATATAAATTATGATTTATTTTCTAAAACTAAATAAACAATAGATTTGCTATAGAAATCAGTCTTTCATAATTTACCGAAAAGTAATAATCCTCTTTCACTCGTTAACAAATCGTAACAATAAAAATGTATGCTCGATTGTGCACGTATACGTAAATATCAGTACAAATCACAATTACATTGAAACTGCCACTGCTACGTTACATCATCTTAATAACAATAAAGCTTGTTCGTACGACGTAAAATACAAAGCCGTAACTATGGCTGCTTTCACTTGACTCGGTACTAAACCTTTGAACATACCTAGCAACCCCTCTTTTTTTATGGTCACTATCAAGCAATTTAGTAATCCGTTGCACTGGAAAAACCGACCGAATCCTTTACGACCGTGCTGGAAACCTTGGATCTGTAATCTTTTTTTAGCAAGATCAAATGGATACACTACTGTTTTTGCTATTAATCCGGCAGCGCCGCCAGATACTATGGAGTTGTAGACATCTGTCTTAGCATTAGTATAATATTTTTTATATAGATCTGTGAAGATACTGTAGAACATGAATTGCAGACCAGTGTGTGGAGCGATTTGCAATAAGGTCGGTGATAACCCGTAAAAAAAGACTCTAGGTGATTCTTGTCTGAGAATCGAACTGAAAGAGCAGAGAAAACATCAAGGGTATGTGTTATCCAACCAAATTAGAAATTTTTAAATGTAAGAATTTAAATTTAAGAAAAAAAAATGCAAAAATATTTTAACTTTCAATTTTGATAATTGATGATATGATAGCCAACACATTTTGTGCCAGTGGCTCATGTGCTAAACTTTCTGTTCATGCATACATTTAATGTTTAAATATATATTTAATGTTTTGCTTCAGGAGGAAATACAAAATCATGAATTACTTATATAAATATTATGAGACATATTGTCTGACAGATGAAATTTGAATTCTCGATACGACAAGTGGTCCAAGTTATGTGAAATTAACTTATGAGGAGGAGCATGGAACGTTTCAAATTTTTTATAACTTACCGACAGGAATGTAATACTCCATCATATACTCGATGATTACTCGATTGAGCTACTAATCTGGTTCTCAAAGTGTCAAAAGGAAATGAGACGATCGTCGCCACACTTCCAGCGCTACCACCAGCAATAAAATTCCATGAATATTTCCACTTATCAGTTTCCGACATTTCCAGCATTTTCATCAATATATTGTATGAATAAAACTACAAATGTAAATAACGTGTGATCGAATGTAATACGATAAAGAGCAACAGAAAGGAAAAAGAAATATATGGAAATTTAATCACTGAGTGTTAGTAGTATCGATTAAAAGATATATAGAATTACATTATTGTACAAGTTTTATTTTGCACCTGAGTCATTCCATAAACAATCGAAAGTAATTGTGCAGGTATGTGTCCTTTCCATAGAGCAGCCACTCTCTCTTCTCTCAATATTAGCCAAAAAGCTTGAAAGATAGATTTATATTTACCATTATAGTGTGTCGAAATTGGCTCAACTTGTAACTGTGATAGGAAGGATAATCAGTTATAAAAAAAAAACAAGCATATTTTAACATAAAATTATTTACTTGAAACCTGATCTTTATAACATCAAGAGGTTGACAGATGAATCTGGTTAATAATCCACTAACAGCTCCTGCGATCGCGTGATCAGTATCTTTCTCGGTTTCTTTCTGTGGACGCCCCATTATTGACAGGTACCTTTACGACACGAGCGGTATCACGCGACCAAGACAAATAATCCGCAGTCATTTGAAAAATTTAAAATAATAAAATTATAAATTTACACAGTAAGCAAGATACAAATCTAGAATTATACTTGCAGCTGAGACTTAATTAACGCTCCTTTGTCACCAATCTGCTCGTATCTGATCCCGCTTGGCTTCATCCAACCCTAACCTAGTGTAATGTAACCTAACCTAACTTAGCAGCATCATTTCTAATACCCAAAGATATCTTTATATTACAACTTGTCAACGGTAGTAATATTGTTATTACTATTGCTGTTGCATAGGCATTAAATATCGTATATTAATTCTACAATGACACTCGATAATATGGCAAATAATTGCTGAGTACAGGACAATAATGAATGTGAGTGTTGTAGGTCTGTTCAATATCTTGAGCTTCAAAATTATTTTCATACACAATATTGATGATGACTCAAGTACGCAAGTAGAATGTTTTGTGAAGTCGAAAATAAATGATATCTTTGCGCATCACAAGTTTGCAATTCCAAGGTTCATTAAAAATTCAAACTACAAAGCCAAATATAATTATACTTTTTATTTTACAAGGAGATATTGAATTGTGTTCTTGGACTGTTTCAATTTTAATTAGTTTTGCGTAACATTAAGGAGACTCAAAAGAAAATGGGTGAAAACATTCGATTTCAATTAACAACAACTTACATTCGGTGTTTGTCATGGACATTCACGCACAGAATCTGCGATTCATACTCTCCCTTGTTACTCGAACCGATTGATTGTTTGATTAAAGACAAAAAGGAGCAACTGATTCCGCTACTAACTAATTGATCAATTAGCTCTTATAACCGCTCTCCTGTCATGTTTTATATATTATCTCATTCATCTCCAATAAATAAACTTAATGATAAATAAATTTTGTGCAACTCGAACTAGCATATATGCCACAAGAAACTAATTCCGATCTCGTATGCGTCGCTGTGTACGAATATCGAGATTTAATTAAACAAAAACGTAATTCAGCCAGGAAGACAACGTAACCCGGTGGTTGCGTTCAGCGAAAATCGGTTTTGCAAAAATATTAGCGTCTCGTGTCTCCCTACCAACGGATCAAAGCTTCGGCTGAACGGCATTCCTCGCAAAGTTACGTTCGCTCATATTTTACAAAGTGGTTTTTAGTATACTGGAGAAAGTGATGACCGTTTAGCGAACACGTTTGTACTATTCGAAATCAATCTAGCCGATCTAGATGACGAAAAATGATAAAAAAAGAACATTTCAAAAATTCCTTGGGAATGGTAAACTAAAACGCGGTTAATACAGTAAAATGTAATGCCTGGCCCAGAATTATAGGGGTGCAAAATTTTCAGAAATGACTCTACATCGTATATTGTCTTCATAACATCAAGACTGTTCGATAGCTACCTTTTATTATCCGCATATAGGATCGTTTTTCAACTATGCACTCGCGCAAACCAAGATTTTATATTTGTCACTCGCAAATTGTATTGCACTCTCTTCTTCTTCTTTTTTTTCTTCTTCTTTTTACTTCGTTTATAGCTGTTCAATCTATATAACGAGTCCTTTCATCTTACACTTGTGCTAATATGCAATACGCAACGTTCCCATTCGTACGAGTCATATGAATATGTAATGATACATCAGGCAGCATATGTCTTAACATCGTACTTAGGACTACTTGTGATGATTTTCAACCTTGCGCATACCTTGTCTAAAGTTGAAAGTCATAAGAAAAGTAACCCAAGTAAGTGTTAAGGCGTTCATGTAGCTTAACGCACGTAGACAATATATAACATTTATATCGCGAGAAACACGTAGCAATGCTGGCCGTATAACGAGTGCACGAGTAACTTCACGCTGTCATTCGGTAAACTATTAGAGAATTGTTACGACTGTTACACGACGGCGGGGCAACTACAGTTGCAACGTGCAAAAACGTAGATTATGACACGTGAAGATTATATCGAGTGGCATTACATCAAATTGATACTGTAAATAAAGGCTTTATTCGCCTTTTAGAACTAATTCGTCTAAATGTGAGATCATCTATTGTAATTGGATATTCTGTTAGTATCGAATCTCTTATGTGTACCGCGGAAAACAGTCTCTCTCCCACGATTACCGTATCCCCAACGATCTGAAAAAAAGAAAGGAAAAAAGCTATGGTAACAATAACATCGGTAATAGTTACATTCAATAACATAGCTTTCACATTACGGCAAATTATATACGCTGTACATTGTCCATGAAGCATTTGTGCATAATCAACTTATGATAAAAGTTAATCGAGATTTAACCAGCACTATTTTCTCTAATAATTTTGCTTTTTTCTAATTTTATTTCCCTTTTGTGAATGAAAACGAAGCATGAAAAGTTTAATTATTAAATTGACAGTAGGTTAAGTCAAAGCTAATTATTACAGTCAATTAACGCTTATAAATTTTACTAGAATGCAATATATCTTTCCTCAGAAAAGACAATATAGCTGTTTACTCCAGCATCACGTTAAAAGTATGAATTTATTTCCGACATAATCGTATTATACTTATGCAATAAGTAATCTCGTGAAGCACACTTACTCCTGTTGCCATATCCGCCACCGCCGCCACCACTGTTCATCGCAAATTTAATTAGTTGAGGATTGACCTCTTGTTTAGCTTCTTTGAGCACGTTTATCAAATCTCTCGCTTGACGGGCATTTTGCGGCGTGAATAAGGCATAACTTGTCCCCGTGTTTCCTGAGCGGCCAGTTCTGCCGATCCTATGGATATAATCTTCGGACGAGGATGGATAATCGAAGTTGATTACATACTTCACATCGTCGACATCTAAATAAATCGGTCAGTTACAATCCGGCGGGTATCTTTTCGCATGTATTTTTGTACATATAATCGATAAATATTTGAAAGATCCACATGCAAAGATGCGAAGGAAAACAACACCCATCAACCCGAATTTTCAAACACCGAAAAAGTGAAAGAGCATTCAAGACAGCGTTTGCAAAATCTTAAAATGGGAGCACTATACAACTATATGTTACATAATCATTATTGTAATTAATTGACTCTGAGATCGCTTGCATATTTGATTGTGACGTATCTAGAAATTTTGAAGAACAATATATGTATATGTATCAATGCGAATATATAGCTGTACAGCGGTGGTAAATACATATCATGTATTTACCTGTAATGTATCTCCTGTAAAGTGCGATGTGTTTCAGTCATATCACAAGCATCCAAACACGGACTAATACAGAGGCACATTTATGCGCGAAACAGAGTTGCGCGTGTGTATAGCACGAGTGAGCAATGTTCTTTTCGTTTTCTTTTTTCTTTTCTTTTTTTCACTTCGTATTCATCGCACACCCAACGCTATTTGTGCACCATGTGCCTCTGAAACAAAGGACGACCATGTTATGATTTTAACCAACATTAAGTCAACTTCGTAAGGCATTTATAGCACTCGTAATTTCGCGAGAAGATGACACAAAATACAATCAGCGATTGTTACGATAGCATAGTATCGATACTAAATATTATAAAATTTTCATCATATAATTTTCATAATATTAAAGTGAATTACGAGAAAAAAATAAATAAATAAAAAAGAGGAGTACTCCAGTGGCTAAACGGTTAACTATTTTTGCTATTTGTTTTACGCCTGAAAAATTCAAATCAAGCTTGAAAATATTAACTTTCTCGCTATCAACGGCGGCGACCACAGTAGTCTGCCATAAAACACAAAATCGATCAGGTTCTTTCGTAGCGAAAAGTCTAATAAACATTCTGACCTTGAATAACTTAAACTCTTCCGTAGCAAATAATTTTTTACAATTATTTATAGTGAGCCGAAGAAAATGTGACATTACCAAACATCGCCGCTTTACCTTAACTTAACACTAAACTAAGAATTAATATTCATTAATGAAACTTGTTCTTCCAAAGATTGATGCATTTTCGAAAGTAATTGTAAAACAGACAAATAAAATGCCGCGCATTGAGATAATGTATATATATATATATATATATATATATATAGCAACCAAATACGTATGTAGCAACTATGCTACTTACCAAGACCACGAGCAGCAACGTCAGTTGCAACAAGAATGGAACTTTTCTTATTTCTGAATTCTGTAAAGAAATAAAAGTGTTCGGTTGCTTTTGTCGATATCGTCGAGACAAACATTGCTTTCCATGTCTGTTTGTAAGTACAGTGGAAAAAGAAAATGATTTTACCTCTAAGGACAAAATCTCTCTCATGTTGCGACTTGTCGCCATGAATGCATACCGCAGGCCAACCAAAACGACGGATACTTCTCGTAATGCTCTCCACCTTTTTCTTTGTTTCTACAAAAATTATAATCTTGCTACTATCCTCGTTAGCATCGTGGATATTTTCCAGTAAAGTCTTCAATCTAAAGTTTAAACACGAAAACATACAAAAGCTTACAAGCTTGACCTCGAGATATACACGTAAAGTTATTAAAGCAACGATATTGTCAGTTCTTCTTAGAGGTAAATATGTATGTGTATATATATATATATAATCATAGTCTATCATACACTTATATCATCATATTATAGAAACGTTCAACGCAACAAATTTGTTGGATTTTACGTATGCGTATACTTTTGTCGATTGTATCAAAACAATTTGTCAAACATCGATCTGAATATCTATGTAAAACCTTTACTAGATGCTCTTACTTGGCTTCCTTCTCGTATTCCTCGCAGACTTCGACAATTTGAAGAATATCATGATTGGCAGCTAACGTCAGCGACCCAATGTTCAGTTGAACATAGTTCTTTAGATATTCTTTCGCGAGAGTGCGCACCTCTTTCGGCCACGTGGCAGACCACATGAGAACCTGCCGATCTGGCCTAATTTGCTCGATAATCTTGCGAATTTGAGGCTCGAAGCCCATGTCCAGCATACGATCAGCTTCGTCCAGCACCAAGTACGTACACCTTCGCAGGTTGGTCGTGCCCTGTTCTAGGAAATCGATCAGACGCCCAGGTGTAGCAATACAAATCTCTACACCACGACGTAGATCGCGCGCTTGACCACCCCTGGGCGCACCACCGAAGATACAGGTGCTTCTCACATACGACAAAGAACCGAAATCGGTCGTCACTGATTGAATCTGTTGTGCGAGCTCTCTGGTCGGGGCGAGAATTAACGCGATCGGGCCATCACCATGATTCAAGCGTTCTTGAGCGTTAATGTGCACAATGGCGGGCAAAATGTAACCTAGAGTCTTTCCCGAGCCTGTTTGCCCTATGCCTACCATGTTGTACCCAGACATAGCAATCGGCCAACCTTGAGCTTGAATCGCAGTCGGCTCTTGGAAGCCAAACTTGTTGATCATGGCATTCATAATATTTTCAGGAAAGTTACCCTCCTCAAAGTACTGGATAGGATCGGGAACTTTGTCACCCTTTACAGTAATCTGCTTCTTCTGTCTGTACAATTCAATCTCCTGGGCACTACGTGCCAGTACATTTGGATGTATGTTATAGAAGTCTTTCTTTAGTGGTTTTAGATTTTCGTACTGCCAGTCGGGCTTTTGCAAATTGTTGCCGACCCCGCCATTAACATTGCGAGCCCATTGTCCTGCTGCACGATATCCATTACTAGCAGCATTGTTGTAACGAGATGTATTTAGCAAGTGGACCCTACAATGCAACAACGGATAAAGTATGAGTTCGCAAATGTCTCATCAGACTATATCTTCTCTCTCTCTCTCTCTCTTCTTTTCTCTGCTTCGAATATTGATGCAGAGTAATAGTGTAACCACCCCTCCCCAAAAAAAAAAAGTAGTTACACAATACAGATATTGTTGCAACCAAGATTGTTGCAAAATACAAAAGTAAAGAATTACTCAAATAAATACACCACACACATTCACTAAATCCACATTCAAACAAATTATACAAATAACAATGTCACAGTATTTAAACACTACAGTGTCGGAAACTTAGAGAAACGGCTCCAGACAGTATCGTGTGGATTCCGAAGGCAAGTTCCCTCTTTGCTTTACCTCCCACAAGCATTCATGCTCCATCGAGATACCAAATGGAGGCATGCCAAAATGAGAGGATATTATTTTATAGTTATTATTATTTTATATTTAATATCATCTATTTTGGTTTAGAGCATCCAATAAACTTTTCTTTTCATTTTGTACTCCAGTAAAACAGAAATTTCAGATAATAAATTTTGTATAAATAAAATATAATTTATATGTATATATAAAATAAATGACAGATAAGGATGAGATACACTAATTATTTATAGAACATAAACAATCTCAATGGCACAACATAACTATCTAATATTATTTCTACTATGAGCAAGTCAGATTTAATAGAAAGAAAATTTTATTTGTATCTTATTAACATCTTTTTTATATGGATTAGATTAATACTAACCCTTGTTTTGTATGTCCTAAAATCCCAGCTAGTCTTTGAAGCCTTAAATGAAATACATGCATAATAAGATATATGATCAGATTATTCAAATAATAAGAATAACTTTTATCAACATTTACAATTAATTTGTACTGGAAAATAGAATAAACATAGAATTTAGTTTATATTTTATAACTTAATCAAACAATAACGAAATATTATGAATAATTTTTTATGTATATCTCCAAATCCTGTCAATTTTTCTCAAAACTTTTCATTACTGGGAAAGTTTTAAAATGAATTAAAATATATTTCCATCCATTTCTTTTCCAATTTCTTTCAATTTCTTTTCTAACTTGTATTCTATGATTGATCTCGATCTCACATGCATGCATGTTGACAAAAAAAAAAACAAAATACATTTATATTTTAAATTACAATTTAATATTACCAAAAGGAATAATCAACAAGAACTCTAAAGACAATATACACAATGTTGCTAAATTTCTTGCTTCTACTTTAGCTTTTGGTTCAGGCATTATATGTTCAATTTAACAATCTTTAGATTTCAGATTTTGATAAAAATATTCTCAGTTTATTCACTTTTGTACGTAAGATATGATGAAAATGAAAATTGTCTTCCAATGGAAAGATAAAAAAATTTTTAAGTAAATAAAAGGTAAATATTTAAAATTAGGAAATCTAACATATCGACAAACATACCACATGTGATTCAACATGACTTTTCGATACAACAAATTTTCTAATCTCCAGCAAATCAATTTCTTCGTTTCGATCTTTCTTCTTTTGTTAGTGAACAACAATTTTAATTCGTGAAAATTTGAACGTAAAAACAAATTGAATGGATAAGTTTTTATCAAACTCTGAACAAAATTATTAAATCAAACATTTGTCATTTGAATATTTCTCAGTAGATTTAGGTACTTTTGCATGTAATTACTGATTACAGAGCACATGAATTTTTAAATAGATTATTGGAAGCAATAATGCATGAATATCGGAAACAATGCGTTCGCTCGGGTATTTCCGTTTTCGTTACACGTGGCAAGTTTTTCAGATTTTGTAACGGAAACTCTTTGTAGCAGGTCAATAATTTAACGCGACATAATTTTCCGTGCAATTGGTGCAAATATGGCGATAAATATATTAACTTTATTGCATGTATGATGCAACATGTTATAATGCACTATCTACTTACATGTTCAAGTATACGTTCTAGTCGAAGAATTTAAGACAATGATCGTCGTGCACAAATCTTGGTGTGTGAAAAATCTGCAAATATTCCGTTAGGAAAATTATCTTATTATTACGCGGAAATATAAACAGCTCGAAACAATGGTGTTAAAATAATCTGCGAAACAGTGAAGAAGTACAAAAAATTTCGATTATCATTAAAAGTACGTTAATATCTACAAAAAAGTATAACATCAAACCTACCCAATGGACGATCACATGAAAAATGGTAGAGGACTACAGAAGACTCACAGGCATCGAACAGTATTACCAGAGAGTAATCTGAGAGCGGCCAATACGACATTTTCTGCGACATCGACTTTCCGCACTGGGAAAAGACGCCATCTGCATCCATTTTGAGAGGGGAACTATGATAGTACATCCACTTTCAGGTCTCGGTGGTAAAATCTACATATGGTGGAAGTCCATGCTACATCCACTTTCAGGCGGTTTATGTCCGTGCTGCAATGACAGTTGCCATCTCTATGCCAGACTATGCCCGGTGGTCTAAAAAGAGCGGGGGAGAGGGGGGGAGGAGCAGAAAGAATAAAAGTACGTATTAAATGTTAAATCTTCGAATATATATTGCCGTATCAAAGTCTCTTCTATAATAAACAATTTGACATGTATGGAGACGCATGATGTATCGTTGTCCGCGTCCCGTTCACTTCGTCTTGTTTTTTAATTCAGCATCGTCCGCTCCGGATATTCGCTCGTGGCACTGACAGTGGCCGTCGGTGAGCATTCGATCCGCTCGGAGGAGCACGTGTTATTTACGTAATTAACGTGACAAGACTCCGATTATAAATATCCCGCGAGTCGACGAAATATTTGAACTTTTAAAAAAAGCATCAAAGAAAATCACGTTAATGTTGTCATGGGTAAAATCTCACCCCGGTATATATTTTCTTATTTTCGAAATAAAAAAAGCCAAACAAATGCAATTAAATGTTATTTATCATCATTGAATATTAAATGAAAAGTAGAAGAGTTATTGTCTGCAGCGGATAATCTCCCTGTATAAAATGTCGAACTGAAACATATTAAAAAGTATTGACATTTTGAATACGTCTGAATTCTGCTTTCTGATCCGAAGAAAGGGAAAATAAAAAGTATTAATTCCCATTAAATTTCACCGCGCTAAATGCGAGATGGCAGTAGTGAATGCTTCGCATTAACAAGGATTCAATTCGTTTCAAATATGCCTTGTATTCAATCGCAATCGATAATTTTTAAATGCGAACTTTCGTATTGAAAAATATTCACTTCTTCTTCTAATCGTTTTCGGATTCAGAGGCATACAAGATTTTCACGTTCTATTCCCCGTCGCATTAAAAAGTATTCACCCGCGATCCAATCTGAGAGCAGAATTCACGACAAAATCTCGTGAATGCGAAACAATACTTTTAAATACGACATTTTATACAGGACTAATATTTAATAAGAGCGCGACTAAATTCGCATAGGATGAAATTCCATTCTTTAACGCTACCATGACCTTTAATTATTCTCTGAAAACGGCGTCACAACAACTTACACTCTGTACAATTAGTTGCTAACACATTTTCTAATCGTATACATTCCTCTTTAATTAACATAAAGCTAACATAAGCTAACAAATGTCCGATGCTTCGACAGAGTAATTTTCTTTATTTTCAGTAATCAATAAATAGAGTGCATCAATGTCGCGTACAGTTGAAAGGCCTCCTCGCATTCCCCTCGTCGTTCCGAAACCTTCGAGAAAACAAGAGACGCTCAAAGGCAAGTCTCTCTTGCTTCAACCGCCGCCGAGGCCCGCAATGTTTACATCGCGCCGATTGTGTTGATCGGCTCGCGAGCGACGACACTTTTTGCCCTTCGTATTATAATACTCGCGCACCTCATGTACTCGACCTCATTCCATCAGCAGCAACCGTGTGCGACACTCTCGTCACTTTCGTCTCGTGTAATTAAAAGAAATATATCTCGTCGGTCTTCGAGATACTCAATCGGCATCGCGTCGGCATCTCATTCATTAACTGCACGGTCGAATCGCGAGTATCAGCATTAGAAGCATGAGCGAGTGAAATCCGGAGGACTTCAGCAGTCGAGAAGCAGAACACCGGCAGCGATACGTCACGTTTCCAGGTATGTGGAATCATTTATTACGCGGGAGGTCTCCGATAACGAGAGCGTACGTTTGACGAATTTTCCGGGAATAAGAAGTCGGAATTTCGCGCTCGGCATTCACAATCCGTCATCATCCGACTAGTAATCATCACTTTATGAATTTGCAATTACTCTCGTCAATCTCTGTCTGTCTATCTATTTATTGCGTTGTTGTATACAAAAGATATTGATCCAGACAGAGACGGATAACGGTCCATGGACGTGGATCTCGAATTCATCATGTTCTCAATCAAACATTCTGAATCATTCCCAATTCCTGTGTGAGAATATTGGTCTTGTGTAGAATATTCAACGTCATATCGCTTCTTAGACTGCGACCTTTTTTGTTTTCGGTCAGCGCTTCTTTCAAGTTTGTTTACTCTTGTTACGGGATCTGAATTTAAATGTCCATCCGTAAAAGAATATTTTCGAGAGCACACAACTGTTGTCTCCGCTTCTTATTGTCATTTTCTTTCGTCAGCTCTTTCAAGAGCTCCTATCTAGACATTCAATGTCAATAAAGAAAAAAAATCGTAGCGAATATTCTCCATTCATCCCGACCAACCATTTTGTCTCTACCGCAGCTTACCAACCAAGAACGCTAAATTTTTGTTCCAGACGTTGCGGGAAGCAAGTCCGGCGGACGCGGATGCCGCACCGGAGGATCTGGTTCGGGCAGAGCAGGGTCGGCCGGAAGGTAAAGTTTACAAATTTCCTACACATCTGTGTTCAACTCTTTACGATCTTTGCCTTTGTAACTTGTTCCTCATCAGCTCTCTTGAAAACTTCAAGTCCCATTTAAATTTTCAATGTTGGAACAAAAATATAAAGATAAAAATTCCGTATCAAAATATATCCGTATTTTCGATTGGTCCCGATCAAAGATATTCTCCCTCTACCGCAGGTTATCAACCGGGAAAATTATTTTTCTGTTTCAGTTGTTGCGGAAAGCAATAGCAATCCGGTGGACGCGGATGCCGCACTGGAGGATCCGGTTCGGGCGAAGCAGAGTCGGCTTGAAGGTAAGTTTACAAGTTTACTATAGTCCTCTGTTTGACACTTGGCGATCTAGAGCTGGGATATAATTTCCGGCTCGACTTGAATTATGATCGCAGAGGGTAAACTACTCTTTTATTCGCCCGCACTCGTTGGTCAAATCTGATGAGCAAATGTGAATTTTTTGTTACAGAGTTGAAGCGGAATGTGGCTCTGACTGCAAGTCGTTTCGGTGAGTCAAAATGAAAAGAGAAACAAAATTCTGCATGACGGATGTGGGACTAAAAAATATCGTTCGAGTCAATGCGAATTGCAAATAGATACTTGCATTTGTGTATTTGTGACGTTGAATAAAATACATTGCTCGAAACAATCAGGGGATTACTTGATCGATAGCCTGCATTACATACAAGATTTAAAATACTGAATGATTCTCTTTTGATGTTCAGTCATCTGAATAAGAGAATATTCATATGTACAAACGCGACACCGACATCAGCTGCTTTATTTTTATTTTTCAAGCGGGCCGCAGAATTACTTAACGATTTAATTATTTGACAATATTCAATTGTCTGTATAAAATATATTCATACCTAAATGCCGATATCCTTAGCTACTTTTCTTTTATTTGCAAAACAGGCTGTGAAATTGATTTGGCAAAATTTTTGTCCATTCATCACCAATCCCTATTGCTCGAGTAGCGTATAATGCGCGTAGAAATGCGCCAGCGCACGCCGAGCTTGAGGTATCCTCGCTCGCGTGCCTTTGAATATCGCGACCGCGGTTGTCAATATACGCGTTTTTACTCGCGTTGCTAATAAAGAAAACTTAAATTCTCATTTCGCCAAAGTATCGCGAACGTAAGCTTCGTCGTGACAGAGCTATAATGCGTGAAAACTTTGCCCCGCTCCTCTCTCTTTGCGCTCCCTAAGGGGGACCGGTTTCTTGATGTCTAATCTTCTCGCGTGCATTCGCGTCGCGAATATTTCACTCGTAGATATCGATAATCCCACATTTTCGCGGATTTTTCAGACGCAATCGCGAAAAGCACCGTAAAAAATCCGTTGACGAGTCAATAAATTTTCACACGGTTCTTACTCCTCGCCGATCGAGTTTATAGAGTCCGTTCGCAGCGCGCAAAAAGTTTCCACCGATAACGAGTAAAACGTTCGTTAATGATGTAAATATCGCCGTTCTAATACCGCGTATCGACCGCGTCGCGGAAGTGTGATGGAAAGTGTAGCGATCACCGTGGGACAGAGCTGCAAGATGGATGTTGCGCGACATGGAGAGCGGCAGCGGACATGGGCAGACATTGGTGGATCTGGTTGAATGCAACAGGACATCATCAATATCATCATTGGTGAGGTGTCTGACTCAAAGTTCGCAGAAAAACTTTTATTTATTTACTTTATTATTACTTTTATTATTACATTGTTGCATGCCGCAAATTTGCATTGATTTTGTAACGAAAAAATATTTTATTCCATTTTTGAATTTATCTCTCCTTA